CTGATTGGTTCTACACTATGCTGCTATACCTGTAACCTGCCTGTGAGTTACCTATTTAAACACTCTGTTCATTAACCTATATAGATCCAAATCTAATGTCACTGCAACACCTAACTGCTTAAGCCAGCTAGCTCGTTACAGATCCATTTACCCAAATCAGCTTAAGTCCTCTCAGAATACACTATACCAGATGCATTGCTAGTATTGCAGAGCCGATTAACCTTGAAGCAAACCTACTAGAGCGGCCCATACCTATTTTACGGGATTATCTAGATTTAGAGTTGTATTAACTTATCTGACAATATAACTTACAATGTAACTTACATTATAAGTTACATACTACCATGTAAGTTCCAAATGTAAGGTCCTAAAGCCAGCTGGATTTACATGTGACTTGACCAGCTTTAACATAGAATGCCAAAGACTAAAAATTCAGTAAAATATGAATATCTAAGATCGAGAATTATATATATATTTTTTATAACGACAATAATGTAAAATAGTAAGTTAGATAACATAATCATATATGTATTTTAGAATAAGCTAGTGTAAATAAATATTCTATAGCGAAAAGAATAAAAATTAATTGACATATATTAAGATTATCGGAATTTTATAGAAAAAATTTCAAACATTTAAACTTTAAGCGTTAATTTTTAGTAAAGAATTACATTTAACCTATAAATCTATATCATTCATATAATAATACTTTAGATTCGTTTTTTCTTTAATAAATTTAAAGCGTTAAGACTTGAATAGATTCATTTTACATAGTAAATGACAAAAACTAGCATTTATGCTAACTTTATTTAATTTTAGTAACTTACAGATCTGATTAAAACATATTATCTAAATAGACTAATGGAATATTTAATAATATGATTAAAAATTTTAAGTCAAATTAATAAATATACTTAATTCATTAGTATTTCCTATCCTCGCGAATTTTTGCTAATGAACAAATACTTTATAGTCATCATTTTCAACTTTAACTCCATCTTAATAACAATTACTAAGTACAAGAACATCTCATTAGAATCACCTATCTTAGCAGATTGTTGATAGTAAATATATAGGAAAAAATTAAATAGACGTAGTAGTTTTTATCATAATTCTTTGACTACACCTTTTTGTTACAATTCCTTCATCCTTTCGCTAATTTTATAAACATATTTTTCTTATCTTTCTGATATAGCTTAGTGTCTTATTACTAATCTTGTGATCATATATCGTAAAATAATCTAAACATAATAACTGATTCTAAAAATATAAATTCTACTAAGAATATTAGTAAGCCTAATTAGTATTAAAACAATTAAGCACTTACACGAATAACTAAAATTATAAATTGACACACAAATCTGAATAAAAGTTTGAAACTACGTACAAATTTCTAGTACTGTAATATTTAGATAAAAACTATAGGTATCATTAGCATGCTTAAAGTATAATATTTCGCTTTTACATAAATTATTATTATACGCTCTTTGATCTGAGAGATTTAAGGAAGATAATTTAATAATAATAATTTACAGCATTATAAAAATCTATTATAATAAATATAGAAAACAAACGCTTATTTATAACTTACCTGAACAATTTTAACTATAGTAATAAACGAATTAATAAATTTCTTTATTCAAAAATTGTAAATTCTTAAGCAAAAATCTGCAAAATAGCAAGTAAGTTTATTAAAGTATTGTGAAACTTTGTTATATAAAAAAATTTTCACGTTCATAAACTATTCTATTTGCTTATCATTGTCGATATTATTTATATTACCCATATTATTTATATTGCTCAAATTATCAATACTATCCAAATTATCTATATTTTCGTTCATATCTACATTGCTAATTTTATAAGTATAATCCATACTATCTATATATGACGAGCTATCTGATAAAAAAACATCTAAATTACTTTCTTCAACTAATTCAGTTTCATTTGATTCTAAGTTAATATCGTTGTCTTCAATTAAATAGCCTTTACCTCTTAATTCTTTAACAAAAAGTAGCCATTTTAAAGAATGTAAAATTCTAAGATTCTAGTAAATATATACTATCTTTTCAATACGTGGATTATGTAAGTGATTACGTAATTTTGAATGAACAAAATTAAAAGAGGACCAGTTTCATTTACTTGAAGCTGACGTAGCAGGTATTGAAAGTAATTTCAATGCTACATTACTTAATACTGAATATCGAGCTTTCATTAAATTCCACCAATTATATGGTTTTTCTTTTAAAGAACCCCACAAATAATTAGGTGAAAATCCACTAGTTTTTCCTACGAATTCTAAAAGTTCTTCTAAAACTTGATCCTCATTCTCTGGTCCAGCAAGACGTATTAACTCCCTTTCAATTGGTGTATCCCATTTTTTGGCATTTAAAATTTTTCCACAATACCGTGGATCTAACTTGTATGCTACCATAGTTGCTAGATTATATAAAAAATCATTCCAACGTTGTCTTACTAAATTTATACTCTCTGTAATTACTATAGTTGGAATTTGATCATTATTACGTATTGTTGTTTCTAGTTGGTGCAACTTAAAAAATACTGCAGATAAAAGTGGCACATCACTTTCTAATTCATAAATAAATTTGACAAAAGGTTCCAAATAGTTACAGAGATGTTTAAGATTTTGCCAAAAAAGATCATTCATTAAATGAATTTTAATATCAGAGCTAATTTCTATGCTTTCTTCTATTAATAATGAATGAATAGCATTTTTGGTTTGTAACAAATGATCCATACAATAAAATGCAGATCCCCAACGTGTATCTACCATTTGTACTAAAGCAATTATATGTCTATATTTTTCTATTTGAAGACGACGAAGTGCTACTAATAGTATATTATGATTACGAAAATAATTGATAATATCTTTACTAGTTGCTAAAATACTTTTTGGCCAGTCTAGTTTCATAATATCTTTGATCTAAAGATTTATTTCATGAACTCAACATCCTAAAAATACTTTAGATGGATATTGATTTTTTAAAATACACCAAGCAGCCTTCATATTAGGTGCATTATCTGTAATCATAGCTACAAACTTGTTGATATCAAGTTCTTGCATTGCCTTATCTATTCCTTCTGCAATATTTTGTGCCATATGTTTATCTTCTTTTGTATATACAGATTTGTAAAAAAGTGGTTTTGGAGTCGTAATCATATAATTAATTATAGAATCTTTATGAATATTTGACCAACCATCTGTTACAAGACATAAAAATTGTGTTTCATCTAATAAATGATTAACAACAGTTTGCATACTAGAATACTCTTTAGTAAGAAGAGAATTTGAAAGAGAATTACGTGTAGGTAATTTAAAATATGGTATCGCTCTTGAAAAAAAAGCCTTTATATCATCATTTTCCAAGATATTAAATGAAATACTAGCAGAATAAAACTCACGTGCTAATAAACTTTCTAGCTCTTTTTGATCTGCATTAGTAAACTTGTATAAAAAATTTTCTATTTTTGTTTGTTATTTAGTAATCTTTGTATTATTATCAGGTACTAAGTTTAATATAGAACTTGGTGTTTCACTATTGTTATTGTTAGAACTTTTTAAGTAGCAACGATTATAATGTTCTTGCATTCGTGTTTCATTCTTGACTTATGATTTATTACAAATTGTACATTTCCACTGTTCTTGTCTTTTTTTATTTATTATTTGTTCAAATCTGTCCCAAAAAGATCCTTTATTACGTGGCATATTAAATGAATAACGATTTGATAAAAAAAATTTTTTGTAATTTTTATTTATATTATATAACTTACCTTACATGGTAACTTACATAACATAGAATGTAACTTGTAAGTTATGCTACTCTATATAAAAGTCTGAGTAGAACTTAAATTATGTGCAAGGTTGACCTGTTTTATTCCAGAACAAAAAAAAAATTTAATAACTTATATAACTTACCTTACATAGTAACTTACACCACTTAAAATGTAACTTATATTTTAAAAATAACTTACAGTAAGTTATGCAACCCTACCTAGATTAGACCCTTGTAGATGTTCATACTACTCCAGTTCCTTCCGTAGCTCTCCACTAGTTTTCTGTATTCTATTTTCTTGAATATTTCACAAGGCAGATCCTCCCAATTCAGTTAGCTGCCAAGCCAGATTGATGTTATCGATCCTCCCTGTAGAACGGATTTATACATACTCGACTCGATCTGCATCTTTTGATTATAGTTTTCTTTCTGAATTAAGCGTTGACTGGTATGACTATCAAAAGCTATACTACTTCATCTACTCAGGATTTCTACCATGCAGGTTCCCTGCCCATAGATCCTATCAAGATTTATTCATGTAATGTTATGTCTCGCCAAATGCCCCGTTACACTTCCAATATCCGGATGATATTGGTGCAATGTGATTTACAGGGTTACAACCCCAGAAACGAACAGGTTTACTGTAAGTTGGATACAAAGGTCCAGGTAATTATTCAAATTCGTTGACAGTGGGATTTGAACCCCAGACCTCTTGCATGGTGGTCTGGCAACCTAACCACTACACTAAGATTGCCAGACCTTGAATATACGCCTATTTCTAATCAAGATATAACTTATACTATTAAAGAATCATCAAATATAATAGCACGAATATACAAATGATTACGTGTAGAAAAACAAAATGAACTTGATATATATTTACTAGTATTATAAGTAAGTGAAGATACTAATATTTTAGAGTAGTAGCGAAATAATAAATCATATTATCCAAATCTCACAAAATTTGCTTGAGACTGTCTTTTAATACCAGCAATGAGCATTCTAAGTGAGCAGATATTTAGCATAAGTAGAGATATGATCACCAATAAGTGAAATTGATTGGATTGTAAGACAGTACAAGAAGCTATGTGTTTGAGATCATAGTAGAGAGAACTAAATAGTTAAGTATATAATAAAATGAATTCTTTTAATAGAATAGATAAGATTCAAAATATTAGTGATAAAATATTTGTAACTTAGTTAGATGGAATAATATAATAAAATTGAGTGCATTTTGCTTAGCAAATTTTCAAATTGTTTTATTTTTAATTGATTAATATGTATTATAAAATTGTTATTCTATCTTTAGATAAAAACATAAGTTTAATTTTCATGTGAGCAAGGCATACTTTGACTAGGATTGTTAATAGTATTATACTCTGGAGTAGCATAAGAGTATAACCATATCACCCTGGATCATTCCGTTAACAACTCTAACTTAGATATATAGGATAACTTTCTCATGATTAGTTGTTACATAAAATTGAATAACACGTTATTATTGGGTAATTGTGAAGCATATGATAATCAACTAATTAAATTACGTCATATTCGTAAACTTAATTAGTTTCTATCGCTTCTCACTTTAACAAAAGAATAAAGAAAAAAACAGGTCCAGATATGTATGTATTTTTTAAATGTCTATTACGCCTTTTATACCAAACTAATATAGTATTTGAGGATTTATCGTTTATTATACCCAAAGCTCGTTATGATAAGACTCATTAGTCTTAATATATATACACGTATATAAAGTTTTAACTACTCTTATTCTAACTCTATTCTTATGTATTAACATTTTTTATGCTTTAAACCTCTTTAACATAGCTTGGAAATCGTTTATTTATTGTTAAAAAAAAAAAAGTTGTATTGTTAGTTTTCTTTAAATAACTTAGCTGTATTTAACGATTTAGTAATTATATATAGTTCTATAATCATAACCTACGTAGAAATTTCACCTTCTAGGTAAGGTACCTCTAGGTGCGGAATTATTTGGGATTATTTTGCATAGTGACTGTTGGCACTTCTTAGAAAATAGCGATGAGTTTAATTTTTATTTTTTACATTCTAAAATCAGATCATTTTGTACTAGTATTCTATTTAACATTGAGAATATAATGTAGATAGATTTCGAGTTTAACTTCAATTCATATGCATGACATGAGGGACAAACACAGAGTGAACGTCTTCTTTTCACTTTACACTTTACTAAATTGCTCTGTAATCTATACTTTTTTTTTTTCCTCAAACAAATTAACAGTCAAAGTTATTGGAGTATTTTTATTATTTATTTCAGAGGCTTGAAAAAATTCCAATAAAGTAAATTGTAAAAAAAGGCCATACAAAATTGTAATAATATCTTTTGTTTTCATAACCATCGTATAAATTTTTGCAAACCTTTAAAAAAAATCAACGGGTCATAAAATTTTATTATTTTTCCTTGAAAATTTTTTTCATAAATTAAAATAAAAGGGGCCACTTTTAAATTAACTTTTTAATAACCTAAAGTTTTTTTCATTATGATATTAAACAGTTATTTTTATCGCTGTTTTCAAATTACTGTGTCCAGCTAAATGATCGACAATCACTTCTTTTTTTGTGAATAAATCTAATTATATTGCTCACAAATAAAGATTCCTCTTCAATTCTCACTTTTTGAATACTATGTCAAATAAATAGTATATGAAAAAAATTGTTGTTTCGCTAAATATGGTTGGGAATTTCGAGATTTTTTTCTACTAACCATAAAAAAAATTTTTTTTCTTTTTTTTAAAAAAGAGATAAATAAATAATAATTTTACAAAGGAGCATCTTTAAACTATAAGTTATAAAAAAATTTACTTGAGCTTTCTAGATCCATGGCGAAGATATCAAGTGGCGTATTGTCTACTTAATACTATTAAAAAAAAGTATCATTTTCTTTATTAAACTAAGAAATTGTTGTTAAGGCTGTTTGAATTTGAAACTTCATTTATTTTTTTATGTTTGTACAAGAGAAAAAGGCAGTGAAAAATTAAACGAGGTTCAAATGATCCTAAATTAAGTTCAAGTGATTCTAAATTTGGTTAAACTATAACCTCTGATTTACCGATCAGATTCCCGATTCCCAGATTCCCAGTGATGTTATCAGCAAAAAATTAGCTGGACACAGTAATTTGAAAACAGCGATAATAATTATTTATTTTATCTCAGATACATATTATCGGTAGTTTTATCCCCTTAAATTAAAATTATTATGATAAATTAAATATTAAGTTGACTTATTCGTCTAATTTTTCTAAGCTAATTTCGGCCTTATATTAATTGTTATAATCTTGTATTAACAAAAATTAACATTGTATAATACCTCTATTTATTAATTTTCTTAATTGTATTTACATTAAATAATTCACGTTGTTATAAAATAAATCAATAAAGTAAATTTTATCTTATAAAAATATTAATCAACATGCAAATCCTTTAGGTTGCTAGCTATAAAATAAAGTTTATTAAAATTTATTAAGATAATAACCAAAATTAGTAAATTAGTTCATTACCTTGATAAAATGAAGTATAATGAGTAAATTTGCATTCGTAAAGTATTTCGTCATAAATTGTCTTATGTGTATTTTTTAGTATTTTCTCGGATTCTGAAAGTTCTAATAAAATTTTTTCATTATTTTGCCATTCATTTAAAATTTCTTCAATTTCTACTGCCGATGGTCGTGTTTTTTGTTCTTTTTCCCAACATCTTT